GGGACACATAGAGACAAACGAGACAAACAACCATTCACTCTCTCACTCACACCTAGGGACAATTTAGAGTTACCAATCAGTCTAACATGCATGTTTTTGGTCTGTGGGAGGAAGCCGGAGCACCCGGAGAAAACCCACACATGCACGGAGAGAACATGCAAAATCCACCCAGAAGGCCCCTGGACCGGGGTTTGAACCAAGGACCTGCTCGCTGAGAGGCAGCAGCTCTACCAGTTGTGCCACCGTGCTGCCCCTTTGAAACTAAGTGCGCATAAGTACAAAAAAAAAAGTTCTACCTGAAAGCCGCTACAACAGTCAAGATGGCAGAGAATAAATTATTTCTATGGACAGATGACGAGGTTCAATTGTTGCTTAGGGTGACTTTGAATTATAAACCGTTATATCTGTTAAGTAACAGAGTGGAGCTGTATGAGATCCGGCTGCGATGATTGAAGTAAAGCTGTAGTAAATGAGTCCGAAGCACAAACAATCTGATATTCGTCATTGTCGATAGTTTCTTCTTCTGTGGATTGTAGGAAGCCGTTATGTTTTGTGTCATGCTGCGCATGAGCCAGGGATTCCCTGACAGAAAAGATCTATTTTTTCTGTTTACACAACAACGGACACCGGGACGTTTTTGAACCATTGCACTCTGGAACTCGTTCTCAAATTGTACCATTGTCAGAGAAAACGTACACTATTTTCGTGTATACAAACACAATGAAACTCTTCCATTTTCACCAGAAATCGTTTTTGAGTAAACAAAGCCTCAGTTTAAACTCAGAGACGCTTACGTGTGGTGAGTTCCAAAAGCAATGTCCAGCTTGGCCTGTCGAACCAAAACAAGAAAGGGGAAAAGGGGGAAGCAAGATATTAAAATAAAAACAGTTTTTCCCCACTTGTGTTTGTACATATGGACAAGTTTGGATGCGAGGTGACCAAAAGAAAAACTCAAAATTTACATTTCACTTTTGTGCCACAGTTGGAGCTCAGAGCAAAAATATACACCTCTTCATTTCCACTGGATTTGCCTGAACTGTCATAAAGCTGCCTTGGCAACATCAAAACTTTTTCTGCTTTTCTGTCAGGCATAATGCAATGTGCTCTTAGATTAATGTGTGTAACTGTTAGCTATTTTCTGGGTGATAAATAAAACTGAGATGCTATGGACTGATAAACCTCACTTGAATTCCTGACTGTAATACTATCCCACTTTATTTTGCTCAAATACTAACCTAAGCTGCGTGCCAAACAATAGTTTCCACTGCTGTACAGACCTGGCAGAAGCGGACATGTGGAAAAGGCCGAGCTTGTTGCAGCAGTCGTGCTTTGGCCTCCCTCTTATCTCCATGGACAAGAAGAACCGGACAATCCCTATAAAAAAAAACACACATACACAAATCGAGCTTTAAAGTGGACGCTGGCTTACACATATTGTCATTGTCCCATCAGAGTGTGACGAGGTAAAAAAGAAGATGGATTTACCTGAACTCTGGTGGGTACTGCTTTACCATCCAAGGAATATCAAAGCAATAGTTAAACTGCAGAGATTAAGAGTGGAACAACTTAACATCTTAAATTCAAAACAAAGTTGCAAGAGTGACTTACATGAAACTCAACAGTCTGGTTTATGTTTACAGGTACTCGTGTTAGAAAATATAAAACGAGCCCATCACACCCATTCTGAAGATTCTGTTACATTTCATGTTTTTCTTTCTAAAAGCACCTTTTTACTGACCTGAACAGACTCTTTCAGTGTGCCAAACAATGGGGAGAGAATGTCTAAGTAGAGGAGAACAGTAAGAGTTATCACACCAAAGTGTATCTGACGAGGAGACGTTCAGATTTAATTTCCTCCATCTAAACTCACCTCTAATGTGCAGAGCTCCACTGTTGAACTCCCTGTTCAGTCCTGTGACTTTGTTGAGGTAGAACTTGTAGGTGTCATTAAGAGGAGGAGTACCGGACTCAAAGAAGTCCTCTGGCTCATCCAGATAGTACAGCCGGCCATGAGGACTTGGAGGACGCTCAGTCTCTACTTTTGTTTTTTTTGTCACCGGGTTCAGAAGTGCCCGCTTTGGCAGATTACCCAAACCGTTCTTTTTCACATCTTCTTCATCTTCATCACTGTCTGAGAGAACCCAGCCTGTGCTGTCTGACACCTCTTTCTTCCGCTTCCCAGCGCCTTCCGCCAGTGAAGGGCTGGTTTCATGTTTGACTGGATTCAGCTGGTTCCTTGCAGCTGACTGTCTGGCCTCAGAGCCTATGGAGAGTGAGTAGTCTGAAGTTCTGGCTGGTTCTGCTTTCACTGGTAGTGGAGAAACAGAACTACAAGATCTGCTTTTGAACTTAGCTGTCTGACTGGACTCAGCTGTTGTGGTCCCAGAAGGAGGAGGATCCTCTTCAAGGTCATCATCACTGCTGGAGACAGTCCACTTGCCATGTTGACTGTCCTGAGACATGCCTGAAAGAAACGAAGAGCAGTAGAGAGAGAAAGTGAAGAAATAAGTCACATGAACTAAGATTATCTGATCTGTTGAAACATTGCTGTAAATAAATAAAACAAAAATAGCCAAATAGCAGCAGTAAAACACTGCGGTAAAGTTAGTTTTACGTTGGATATTCGAGCTCCGCGGCTTCAGCGGTGTGTTGCTCTCGTCAATCCGTAACTTTACCGCAGTGTGTAAAACGTCTGGGCATCGGCTTTTTGTGATCACTAATAAGAAACAAACTCAGAGACGAAGATTGCGACGAATCATCGTTAAGTCTGAATTACAAAAAATAAAATGCACGGCTGACTTAAACTCCAGCTGCAAACTGATGTCGAAATATACCATATAAAAAATCTATTTCATGAAAGGTGGCAAACAATGCGATAAGAAACGATATACAGGTTAAAAAAAGAACACTGAGTAGTAACAAATAAACTCAAATAATTTTTTTTTATTGTGTTACGAGTTCGTTTTAACAAGTCCAAAAAATAAGTGGAAAAGGTCAACTCTGCTGTACAAAAATAAAGACGTTTTACCAAATTACTGCCTTCCAACTTTGTTTTAGATTTATCAATGCGCTGCAGGAAAACACGTACGCAGAAAATGATTCCGGGACGAAACAACGACCTGATTTTATGGTTCCGAGAAACGGCGGTGGGGTGGGCGCAGGTTAGAAGGGAGGATTTTTTTTATTATTTTTTTTAATCTTGTATTTAACCTTTATTTACACAGGTTAGTCTCACTGAGTCACGAGGACTTATATGGAAGAGAGACCTTTTGCAAGCAAAACCACAGGTAAGATGCACACAACAATAAAATGAAAAGTAAATAAAAGTAGTGATATAAAACAAAATAGCAACAAGCTTCATTATGAAACCGGATAAAACACTAAAAACAGGAACAATTCTGCATTGATTTTTGCATTGAACTTAACATTTGTTTAAAATCCTTTAGAGAGGTCAAAGTGGACAGCTTCAGATCTTGTTACAAAGTAGGATACAGGAGTGGAGTAAGAGAACGCCCTTTTGCCAAATTCAGTCTGCACTGAGGGGACGCTGCAGATAATTATGTCCTGAGAGCGCACGCTGTAGCTGCACTGAAGATGTGACATGTAGGAGGAGATAAATGAAGGCAGCAGACCAAGGATAAATGTATGAGTGTGGTATACTTGTTAATTTTTTTAATCTAATCAAAGTCTTAGAAATCCCATCCAGAAGCTGTATATCTGTCTGTCTGCTTTTTTAAACAACTAAAAAGATGTATACAGTATATGTATGTATATACGTATACATGTGGTGGTGTTAAAGCCCGAATTCGGTGTGGGTAACA